TTTTATTATACATAATGAATTTCAAGTACTTTTAATTATTGCAGAAAAATATTTACATTGATTTCCTATTTTGAATGTTTTAAAATTTTTTGTTGTTCTAGGAAATCCTTTAGCATCATTAGCCATTATCTCAAAGAATAATAAATGTCAGGTAAGGTTAATCATCAATGACAATTGATCCAGCTCTATATTTAATATAATTTAATAGTCATTTATGACTGTGTGTGTATATCAGCATATGAGTTTATCACTCTTGCTTTTACTAAGAATTTCATTAAAAAATAAATTATTTCAAATTTCTTCAAGAACAACAAAACCAAAATCCGGTATATTAAAAGTTGAATCTTTATCAATTCAATATTCTAGTGGTAGAAAATTAATTGAAGTTTAACGTCTCCATTTAGAGAAGTATGTCTATACTAATAGCACAATCATAATATTGAAATAATTGCTTTTTTATGTTGTATAAAACTTAACTGAAAACTGTAAGATCAGAAATAGAAGTCTTAATTTTACCAGAGTGCTCGCGTGTGTAAAAGTTCTTTTATTAGAGTTTCAGAGTCATAAAATACTTATCATGATATAAATGAAGTGGGGCAGAAAATTTTGGTTTATTGAAGGAATCCATTTTGGGACCTATCCATGACTTTTATAAAGTCAAACATCGCTGGCATGGTGGCACATACTTGTAATCCCAGTGGGTTGAGAGGCTGAGTCAGGAGGATTGAGAGTTCAAACCCATCTTTAGCAAAAGTGAGGAATAAGCAAATTTCAGTGATACAAAATAGGGCTGGGGATGTGTCTCAGTGGCTGACTGTCCCTGAGTTCAATCTCCAGTACTTCCTCCATCAAAAAAAAAAAAAAAAACAACTAAAAAATATTATAATGTGAGACCAAAAGCACATAAAATTAACAACATGTAATTATATCTACAATAAAATTAATTAATGTTTTCTTTATAATTCTATTGCTAAATAGTAATCTGAATTATTTTATATTTCTTTTCTTGTAGGTATGTTAGGATGATCATGCTTTCTGTCTACATATTTCACTTTTTGAAGAATTGTATGCAGCGACTCATGCCTGTAACCGTAGCTATTCATGAATCCTAGGCAGGAAGACTTGAAAGTTCAGACAATTAAGGAGATTCTGACTAAAAATAAAAGGGGATGAGATGAAGCAAAGTGATAGGAATCTTTGATTTCAGACCCTAGAACCATAAACAAAACAAAACAAAAAAAAACAGGTTTACATTAATAATCTGTTTCTAAAACGTTAAAACACAAAATCCTACAATGTTTAATTTTAAAGACACTAATTTTCAATTTCAAAGTGAATGAATAGAAGTGTGAATATGACAGACGCTGAATGAGATTGGTTCTTGTTCTATAGCTGAATCCGAGATAGTGATTCCTCTTTTAAACTGCTTCCTATCATCAAAGTATGAGCCTCTGACCACACTCTATGCTAATAATAATAGCCTTTCCTTTTGCCCCTAAATTCTTCCAATCAATTCTTCTTTGTCCTTTATAATAACAATTTGCACTTAACATTAAGTTACTGGAAGGTTCTGAAAATGACAACCATGGAAATAACCATCTTCTCTAATCCTTAGCAAGAAGCAGAACTCAAAATGGAATCAGCAGATAAAAGACTGGAAACTTGAGAAGCAAAACTTTATAGTATCATATCAGCTGATTGCCTCAGGGTTGAACTTTAAAATATTCCTGGGGAGTTTAAAGCTATAAATTTCAAACTCATGGTTTTTCTTTGTATCATAATGGATCAAGATAATAGCTGACACATCATTCTAATTTTTCATCATTAGTCCATATGTTACAGAAATTGGTGTTTAATCTTTTTGAAAAGGGACATTTACCTTTGACTAGATTAATTTATTAAATTCCCTTGAAAACTGTAAAACAGAATATTTTACAAGAAAAACAGATTTAAAGAAAATATTGGGCTAGTTAATAGAACTTAGAACTATGAAAATGCTTCTCATAACATGTTAAAGGAGATAAAATTATCTTCTAAAATGACTTTTATTGGTTTTCACATATGCAGTCATCTGTACAAAAATTTTGTCCTCAGTGCTATAAAAATTTAACAAAAAGTAAAGGCAATTGGAACTCATAATTTCAAATCTGATATATTTCTAAAACACCAGTCACAAATTCAATGCATGCGTTGGTTTGTTGGTCTGAGGGAGAGGATGAAATTAGAGAGGAAGATGACCAGAGGCAAATGTGACTCAGAGAAATATAATACAGAAATTCTGACCCAATTTGTCCAGACTCATAATCCTTTTGATTTATACATGATCATTGTATAAAATCTTTACTTAATTTTGATGCCTCCTCAACAGAAGACCCATATAGATTGGAAAAGGACCATTGAAAGTAACTTCTTTCATTACTATGTAAGAAATTCTATTAGAAGGAAGCAAATAAGTCATATTTTCTGTCCCGTATGCATTCAACTGTGCCCCTAATCCTGTAGATTTAGTAATTGTTTCATTTTACTTTCTTATTTTATTTAGAATATAGCTACTCTACAGAAAATTGTTTTTCTTCATTTTCACTCTACTGGGCAAAATTCTGTTTAATCCTGGAAATAATTAATCCTTATGATTATAGTTTTTTGTTACAGATTTAATTAAGCACAGAAAATTTCAAATAGTGAGTGATCTTGGGTTTTTATTTCTTCATATATATGTTTACATTTGTATTTTTACATGGAAAAATTTATATTAATGTATCATATAAAGCAAGATGTTTTGAAGCATTTATACATCATGGAATTAATAATCTCAATTTAGGTAAATAGCATATGTATTATCTCTTAGAGTTGTTATTTTCTAGTAAGAATAATTAATATATCCACTTTATTTGCATTTTTCAGAAATACAATATATTATCATTAGCTGTAGTTACTATGTTGATGAATAGATCTCTTAAACATATTCCTCCTATTTCACTACAACTATGTATCCTAACTAAAATCCTTTGAATCCTTCTCACCCCTGTGAATGCATTACAATCTGGTAACTGATTTATCCCTTGCTTCTTGGAATCAATGTTTTTATTGTCTACATATGATTTTAATTCTGTTCCTGATTTATTTCACTTTTCCTAATATCTGCCATTCATTTGAGATGACAAAATTTCCTTCTATTTTGTGGCTGAATAACATTACTTTGTATATATAAACCATATTTTTCTTTTCCTTTTATTCATTGATGAACACTTTCTTTGATTCCATTAATAATGCTAAAATACACATGGGATTGTAGATATCCCCTCCCTCCACATACCAATTTTATTTCTTTGGATATATACTCAGTAGATGGATTTCTAAATTGTTGTGGTAGTACAATTTTTAAATTTTTGAGCTATCTCCATATTTTTTTTCCATGATGTATGTGCGAATTTTCATTGCCATCAACAGTGTGTAAGTGATCCCTTTTCATTTTCTACCACTCAACTACATTTCCAGTCTACTCTAAAATTTTTATTTTGAAACAGAGTTTTGCTAAATTGCCTACGTTGGCCTCAACTTTGTAATGCTCCTGCCTCAGACTCCAGAGTATCTTGGATAAGAGGTGTGCACCACCACAGTAGGCAAATATTATCTTTTATTTATATCCTGAATAATACTTACTATCTTTTGTATTTTTGTTAGTGACCATTTTAACAGGTACAAAGTGATCTTCAAACTAGAATTTTGAGGTGAAACTGCATTTATGCTTCTGCAACCAGGTCGGTGCTGCACAATCTGCAGGTCTCTGCAGCTCATAAGTGTTGCAGCTCTTAATGGTAGGTCATGCCCTCCAGTACTGCAGCAGACCCAGCAGCTCATCTTCAATTTCTTCTTCTTTCTGGGTTTTTGACTTGTGAATTCAAAGAATGAAATCCACAGAATTCAAAGGTTGGATATATTGAAGAACAGAAAAAGAACTCTTGAAATATAACAGGGGACCCAATATCAGGTTTTCTTCTTCTGAGTATTCTATTTTAGGGGGTTTATAGCACTTGGTTCACTACTATTGGGACAAATTTATGAAAATTAGGGCTTGGAGCTTTACTAACACTTTTGGTCGAATCTTGAGTCTTAACTTTCATTCAAGTCTGTCCCCCTTCCATTTTCTCAAGGCTGGTCAGGAAATGGGAGGTTGAGGTCTTGGGCTCCATATCCATTTTAGGCCTATCCCTAAAGGATCACAGGTCTGCAGGTGTGCCTGTGTGCTAGCTCACCACACCTCAGGCTCTCTTGGCCTGTATGGCAGGCTCCATGTAGTTTTAGGACCTCCTTGCCAGTGTGTGCTCTGACCTACCCAGGCTGCCACTGCACTGAACCATATTCCACTGTTGGGCTACCACTTCTGAACAGGTACCAGTAGGCCAGATGCAGGGCTTGGCAACTGGAGAGCCATGTGAATATCACATTGTGTGTGTTTGTTGTTGTTGTTGTTGTTGTTGTTGTTGTTTGATTCCCAGATGATTAGTCATTCTGAATTTTTTTTTCATATATTGTTGGGCTACTTGCTTTGTTTACTTATTTATAAATATCTGTCCAGGTTCTTTGGTTAGTGCTTTTATTTGCATTTTTTTCATTTCTCATTCCTCTGGCTATCGATCAATCTGTTAATTGCTCTCCTTGGATGTGCAGAATTTTATTTTATTTCTTATAATCCTTTTTTTGCTTTTTTAAAATTTTCTTGCCTGTGCTTCTGGAATTATACCCAATAAGTCATTTTCCATAACAGTATAAAGCTTTTTGCACTGTTATCTTTTAGTAATTTTAGTTTCAGGCCCTATATTTGTTTTTAAACAATTTTAGATTGATTCTTATATATGATATGCTAGTATAACTTTATTCTTTTGCATATGGATATTAGTTTTTTTAAATATGATTTTTTTTGAAAAGTTAAAAATTCCTTATTTTTTTATTCCTGGTACCACTACCACAATTTACCGGGCAATATACCTGTTGTAATGAAAAGAAAAAGAAAAAGAAAAAGCTACAACAGATAAAAGACCTCAGGAATGTACATCTGATTGACACTACATTGCATTAATCAATAGCTGCACTTTTTGCAAACTGTGGCTATGACAGTCCTGAACAAGAAGGGTTTCCTGTTTAAGCTGCAGTAACTTTTCTGACTATGGATCATCGTTCCTTCTGTGGCAGATTTTTACAGTTCCTCTAATGCATTTGGGATGACTGTATCAAAGTAACCTGCAGCTTTCCTGACAACTCCTCGCTCTCTCTCCTGCTAAGAACTTAGCCTTTTTCTGCTATTTTTAAAACCTTCTGCTACCATATCTACCACTTCCACCACCAGATCCATAACCACCACCATACGGACTGCCAGAGCTTCTTCCACCAAAACTGCCCCCCTTCATGGGTCCATAATTTGATTGCTGTTGTCCACTGTAATTTCCAAAATCCTTATAGTTCCCACCACCACCATAGTTACCACCACCAAAATTTCCTCCTTCATTGTAACCATCATATCCTCCTCCACCACCATATCCATCACCTTGGTTTCCATATCCTAGTCCACCTCCACCTCTACTACTCCTCTACTACTATAACCAGGACCACCACCAGAGTTGCCACCATCACCTCCAAATCCATTATATCCACTACCACCTCTTCCGTAATTACCTCTGCTGCCACAACCTCCACCACCATAGCCTCCTTTTCCACCAAAGTTTCCACCACGGCCAAAGTTACCTCCACCACCTCCAAAGTTTACTCCACGACCCATAAAGTTGCCAGATCCACCTCCACGACCTCTTTGTGATCCAGCAGACTGCATCTCTTGTTCATAAAGGGCCTTTTCCACTTCACAATTATGCACATTAATAGTGTGGTATTTTTGAAAAACAATTTTGTCAACTGTGTCATGATCATCAAAAGTTGCACAAGCAATTCCTCTTTTTCCCACTCTGCCTGTCTTCCATAACTTCTATGGTTTCAATCTTGCCATACTTTTCAAAGTAATCTCTCAAATTATATTCTTCTGTATCTTCTTTAATACCACCAAAAGATTTTTCTACACTGTTAGACACTTTTCAGAATCCTCTCTAGAAACAGCTCTATTTGGTTCCACTACACGCCCATCAACCTTGTGTGGCAAAGCACATATTGCTCCATCCACCTCTTCAACACAAGAGTAAGTCACAAAACCAAAGTCCCTGGAACATTTTGTTTGGGGGTCTCTCATTACCACACAATCTGTGAGTGTGCCACATTTCTCAAAATGTTCTCTTAAACTATCATCTGTAGTTTCAAAACTCAGACCACCAATAAACAGCTTCCTCAATTGCTCTGGTTCCTTTGGATCATGGCCCTCGAGGCCATCTGTGGCATTTCTACCGGGCCACCTCCTGACTGCTCCTCCAAACCCGCGCTCCTTCCCAGTGGAGCAGAGAGGCAGCGGCCATTGCAGGCCAATGCCTAAATATGATTATTTAAAAAGAGATTTTTTTTCTGTCCAATTGAATGTCTCTGGCATCTTTTTCAGAGATTCATTGACTCCAAATTCATTCTGGGTTCCTTGTTCTGTTCCATTGAACTATATATCTGTGTTAATGCCAGTGTCATGCTGTTATGTGTGAATAGATAATATTGGTTTATCAATACAGGCAGAAGATTACATTAAAACAACAATTTTTTTCAATTATATGCAACAAATACTCTTAAATAGATTATATGTTAGGTTATAAAACAAGACTCAGCAAATTTAAGAAAATTGAAAACACTTAAAGTAATATTGCTGACCTGCATGGTAAGACAAATGAAGAAAAAAAATAACAAGAAGAAAATTGGAAAATATGAGTGGAAATTAAACAGCATATTCCTGAAAAACAATGAATCAAAGAAGAACTAAATAAAGAGAATTTGCAAAGCAGGTTTGCTAGTTACCAATCCCAAGAGAAGACTCTTATAGCATGGAAAAGCAAAGATTATCTCTATTTCAACTATCAGAAAAAAGGAGCACATATATTTATGCTTATTTCATTCAGGGTTACAGTTTATGCCCAGCATGTACTACTTTCCCATTTATCTGAATCCAGTAAGACAGAGTATGCTCGCATCAAGTTATACAAATTGTGTTTATTACATACTGACTGGTTCTATTACAAAGACTGAGTCAAAATTTGTTACAATGGTAAAAGAAGGGACAGAAATATCAGATCAATATAAGTTGTTCATCCAAGTCTCAAGAAAATCACTAAAAGTATTGAGAGGCTTGATACTCATGTTCTACTTTGCAATACAGAAGTAAGATTCTGAGAGATATCCATCCCTGGGGTATATATTTCAAGGTCATGTGACACACTGGGAAAATATTTGAAGGGCTTCCTGCTCACAGTGGAGTCAAAAGTTTGGACAGCTCTAGACTGTTTTCTTTCTAACTTAAGATGATAGATGCCTTAGAAGTTACAAATCATGGTCTGGGTCTTTTCACTCAGTTTTATCATATGATATTGGCTTTCAATACTTTGTTATTCTTGATAACTATGCACCATAAAGTGGAAAGAACTAGCCAATCCATGGACACCCAGAGAATTATACTGAAGAAATGAGAAAATATCTTTTGACAAATTAAAATTGAAACACACCATATAAAAACTTATGTGATACACTAAAACAGTTCTAAAAGGAAAGTATACAGCAGTAAATACTTAAATTAAGACTAAAGAAAGATATCAAGTAAATAACTTATGTTATACCTCAAAGAACCAGAAAAAGAACAATTTAAGATGAAAAACAAAAGATGGAGAAATAATAATAAATATTGTTGCAAAAAAATAAATAAATTAAAGATCAATGACACTGAATTGTTTTTTAAATAAAATAAATGAAATTCACAAACTTTAACCTACTCTAAGAAGAAAGAAGTATCAAATAAATAACCTTTAAAATGAAAGAGGAGACAAACATTATTTCACCTGACACCACAGGAACCAAATGGATCAATGCAAAGAAATTGAATACCCTAGAAGAAATGTGCAAGTATCTAGAAACTTAAAAGATACCCAAACTAAATAATGAATAGAAAATCTAAACGGACCTACCATGAAATTGATGATGATGATAATGATGATGATGGTGATAATAATAATAATAATAATAATAAGAAGAAGAAGAAGAAGAAGAAGAAGAAGAAGAAGAAGAAGAAGGAAGAGGAGGAGAACAGCAAAAACAATAAAAACAACTTCTAGTGAAAAAGAAGATGGGACATGATGTGATGGCATGAGTATTGAATGCTATCAAATATTTGAAGTATGACACCAATGGTGATCATACTCTCCAAAAAGCTCAAAGGGCTGGATCACTTGTAAACCTTTTTTAGGAAGCAAACATTCCATTGATATCAAAGTCAGATGATGTTTTATAAGAAAATCACTGCCCAACATCCTTAATGAGCATAGATTCAAAAGTCCTTAACAAAACACTGGCAGAAAATTTCAATACCACATTAAAAGTATCCTATACCACGATCCAGGATGATTCAGCATAAATAATTGTTTTAATTAGCTTTTCCATCACTGTGACCAAAAGATCTGACAAGAATATAAAAGCTAAGGAAATTTGATTTATGCTTGTGGTTTGCAAGGTCTCAGGTCATAGTCAGCTGATTCCATAGCTCTGGATTCTAGGTGAAGGGCAGAAAGGCATAGTGATAGAAAGAAGCTTAAAACATTAAAATAAGAAAAAAGAGAGAACTCTGCTCACTGGGGACAAAATAAATCCCAAAGTCAGCCATGTTCTATTTACCTACAGTTATCACCAGTGAATCCATGAGTGGAGTAAGCCTGCTGCTTAGTTTATAGCATGATCTAATAATTTCACTTCTGAATATTCTTGCATTGTATCACAAATAAGTTTTAGGGGGATACCTCATAATAAAACCACAACATTCTGCCCTTGTCCCCCAAAAGATCATGCTCATCTTACAATGCAAAATTCATCTAGACTAAGAGTCCCCACAGTTTGAACAATTCTAAGCACTGCCCCAAATCTAGTTCACATTCAAAGTCTCTGAGACTCAAAACAAACTCTTCATTGTTTTCCCCTATACAGGTCAAAAACAAGTTACATATATCCAATATATGAAGTCACAGAGTAAATATTTTCATTCCAAAAGTGAGAAATAGGGTCATAGATAGAAGAGATGAAAGAAGAACAAAATACAAATGGGGAAACAAGTCTTGTAGCTCCACAGCCAGCATCTGGGGCACAGGGCATCCTAATGATCTCCCCAAAAGGCTTCTGTAGTTATATCCATATGGCTTTGCTGGTTACCACCCACATGGCCTATTTTTTGAAATTGTCTTTGCTCAATTCTTGTAGCATTCATTGTCAGATGACCCATGTTACTGGCATCTCTTAATAATGGGGTTTATCCACTTGCAGTTTTGGTTTTCTTCTCACATCTCCACAGATTGTCCACTTAGGGGCTACCTGCAGTAATGTTGACCATGCTATTCTTTAGCTGTCCCACCCGATAGTTTCTTTGAAACTTGTGGTAAATACTTCTATGATCCAAACACCGGAACACTGAATTCCTGCAGAGTCAGCACCATGTGGTTGACACCAAGTTCTGCTACTATGTCAAATAGTAGCCAAGCTTTCTGATAATATGGTTGCAGCAGCTTCTGACTGCCTGGACTGCTGAACCCGATGAAAAACTTCCTAGACTTCCCCACTCCCTTGTAAAAACAGTTCCTCCAGAGTTTCAAAGGAATTTTTGCTTTTAAACCATTTAGTCTAAGATAGGTGTGATCTTTCCAATCCCAGGATGCCCTCAAGATATCTTTCTTATTGTTTTAGGACACAGTACTTTGCATTTCTTAAGTAGCTATAATCTCTTTGACAATCATAACTTCTTTAGATTTAATTTTACTCTCAGTTTTAAGGCCAAACTGCAGGTTTTTCAGATCTTTATGCTCTGCTTTTTGCTCCTGATTATCATGATAAACTTGATAGCAACTTAAGTTGCTAGCAATAACCATGCCACCCCCAAGAATATGATGCCCTAAAATTTCCACTGCCTGATTAATTTATCACCTTGAAATTAATTATCAGAGAAATTCTCAGAACATGACAAAATATAGCCAATTTCATTGCCAGAGCATAACATGAATGGCCTCTATTGCTATTTTCAAAAGAGTACCATTCTTCCTCTGAAAATTTATGTGCTCTGTCTTTACTCTCTGCAAACCAGTTTAGTCTTCTGAATCACATGGCCATTTTGGTCTTCATAAAGATCCTATTTCTAGGTACTTATTTCTATTTTAGTCCATTGGTTGGGGGGGTTATTTTTGTTATTGTTGTTGCTGTGGCCAAAATACTTGACAAGAATAACCTAAAAGAAGAAAAATTGATTTCAATTCATGGTTACAAAAGTCTCAGTTCCTAGACAAGTGATGCCACAGCATAGCTCTGGTTCTAAGGTGAGGCAGAACGCCATGAGAGAAGTTTGTGGCAGAGAAAAGCAGCTCATGACATAGTAACAAGGAAGCAGAGAGATAACTCTGCTCATCAGGGAAAAAATAGAAATGTAAAATGATGCCCCCAGTAACCTAGTTTCAGTGGCCACACACTATCTGCTTACAATCATCACCCAGTTAATTTAGTATAAATTATGAAGCAAATGAACAGACATTCAGCCAGCCACTGATGCACACAAGCTGGAGAGCCTAAGAAGACCTGGACTGATATCCCATCACTGTCATTGTTTGCCTGATCCTCTACATGGTCCTCACTGCTCTCAAACTCTACAGCCACATCTTGACCCTGGTGAGAGCCACAACTTCTCCCTATGAGATCCCCTCCTCAAATGACCAACCATCAACTCCACCCCAGGAGAAGCCTACATTGGTTCCAGATCACAGTCTTAGTGTGTGTGCATCTCCTGAACTTAAACTCCAAGGCTTGAGACTTTTGATCTGACACTTGAACTTAGTATGCAGAGGGAATGTCTGTTATGAGCCTATCATGATTAAGTGTGTTTGCAGTGCTTAGAATTAATTAATCTAGAATTGTTTGCTGTGAATTAATTTATCTAGAATGGTTTGCTGTGAATTGATTATGTCTATTTCAGTGCCTAACATTAATAATTGTCGTTTTCTTGATTAAGAACCTATAGAGTTAAGTTGTATTGAGTGATTTGAGTGACTAAAGCATTGTAAAGTGCAGAAATTCATGGACATTTTTTATTTCTCCCCCTGAACAGTGTAAGTCACACCTTTTGCCCATAGCGACAGGTTGGGAGATTGGGTGACTTACGTAGTTCTATTATGTTTTATTTTGTTTTTGTCTACAATTCTGCATTAATTTTCTCAATTATGGTTTAACCAAATAGAACATTTGATTGAATTACAATGATGATGAGAAATTTTAATCCAAGTTATAGGGTCAGATATTGACATACTTTAATAGAAATT